GACAAGGCCTCAATCGAAGTGGAAGACGATATAGTATACCGGATACTAGGTGGATTATTTCGTTGCTCGACGACGAAATTAGGGTTTGTTCTTGAACAAAGACGACGGATTTTGGGGCTGAGCAACTTGATTTTCTGTTAATATATTTCAACGTATTTTCAATGTATCATGCTATATTTTCATGTATTTCATTGTATTCATTGTCGTTTTTTTCATTGTAATTCAATGTATCTCGTTGTATTCCATGTATTTCATTGTATTCACTATCTTTTTTTTCATTGTATTTCAATGTATCCCGGTGTATTATATGTATTTCATTATATTCACTGTCTCGCTATATTCCATGAATGTATTCATATGTTTTTTTTAATTAATATAATTTATGTATTAAGATGTATTATATAATTTTTCTGAAGATTGCTATGTTTTTGGGGTATTTTTTTGGTTGAAAATCTTTTTTATAACAGAAAATACAAAATTTGTGTGTTATAATTGAGTTTGTTGAGTTATATTAGGAGTCTATTATGTTAATTGATTCACTTTCCATTTTAAAAATAGTGTAATCCCCTATTTCACGCCGTGAATACAGTCGAATACAATAAACTGTCCAGCTGTAATCCCATGTTTCACTCCATGAATACAGTCGAATACACTCGAATACAACAACTGATTAGCTGGACTTCCCTGATTCACGCCTATTTTTGCTATTGTATTCATGAATACAATAGCTTAAATACATCAAATACATCTTACAACCACACAAAAGGTATCTATAATCCGTAATATAGCAAATGGTATCTATAGATGGCTAATTACTACCAAAAGATTGTGCTTTATGAAAATTTCTCTTTCCAAATTTCATGTGCTGTCCACGCCATCTGCTTGAATTGGGGGTGACCGACCCCAAATCTCCTAAAAAATTTCGGGCCTATCAAAAATGACCTAATTAACAATAGTCATCGTTTCTCCATGACCGTTTCTCATTTTTTGGCCCTTAGGGCCATAAAACTGGGATACAAGATGATTCCCAGATTTTGGTGTGCTATTATCTACGTCATCTGCATAAATTCGGCGGGAGGTCCCGAATTTCCTAAAATTTTACGGGTCCATAATAAATGACCTAATGAATAATAGTCATCACTTTGCTATGACCTCTCTTTGTTTTTTAGCATTTTAGGGCCATAAACCAGGAATGCAGGATGATTTCCAGATTTTCGCGTGCTATAGTCCACGACATCTGCATAAATTCGGGCGGTCGGTCCCGAATCTTAAGATTTTGCTGGCCCATAAAAACGACCTAATGAACAATAGTCATCGTTTCGCCATGAATGTTCCTCGTGTTTTGCCGTTTTAGTGCCATAAAAAAAAAGAAAATTCAGGACGTTTCCTTGATTTTTGTGTATTATAGTCCACGCTATCTGTATGAATTCGGGCGACCGGCCCCGTATTTGCTAAAATTTTGTGGGCCTATAAAAAATGACCTAATTAACAATAGTCATTGCTTCATCATGGTCATTCCACCTTTTTTTGTGTGTTTTAGAGCCATAAAATAGGAATTCAGGACGATTCCAAGATTTTTGTGTGCTATAGTCCACGCCATCTGCATGAATTCGGGTGGCCGACCCCGAATCTCATAAAATTTTGTGAGCCCATCATATACGAATTAATGAACAATAGTCATCGCTTCACCATGAACATTCCTCATTTTTTGGCGTTTTAGGGCCACAAAATAGGAATTTAGGATGATTTCTAGATTTTTGTGTGCTATAGTCCACGCCATCTACATGAATTCGGGCAGGCGGCCTGAATCTCCTAAAATTTTGCTGGCCCATCAAAAATTGCGTAATTAACGATAATCATCACTTTGCCATCACCGTTCCTCTTTTCTTGGAATTTTAGGGTCATAAAATAGGAATTCAAGACGATTCTCAGATTTTCATGTGCTATAGTCCACGTCGTCTTCATGAATTCGGGCAGCCGACCCCAATTCTCCTAAAATTTTACCGGCCCATCAAAAATGACTTAATAAGAAATAGTCATCGCTTCGCCATGACCGTTACTCATTTTTTTTAAATTTTAGGGCGATAAAACAGGAACTCAGGACGATTCCCAGAATTTCATGTGCTATAGTCCATGCTATCTACATAAATTCGGGCGATCGGCCCTCCTTAAATTTTGCGGCCTCGAATATCATAAAAGTTTGCGAGCCCTTAAAAATGACCTAATGAACAATAGTCATCGCTTCGCCATGATCGCTCCTCATTTTTTTCGCATTTTAAGGCCATAATAGGAATTGAGAACGATTCTCATATTTTTGTGTGTTATGTCCACGCATCTGCATGAAGTCAGGCGACTGGCCCCGAATCTCCTAAAATTTTGCGGGCCCATAATAATGACCTAATGAACAATAGTCATTGTCTGTCCATAACCGTTCCTCGTTTTTTGGCGTTTTAGGGCTATAAAATAGAAATTCAGGATGATTCTCAAAGTTTCATGTACTATAGCCCATGCCATCTGTATAAATTCGGGTTGCCTGCCCCGAATCTCCTAAAATTTTGCAAGCCCGTCAAAAATGACCTAATAAACAATAGTCATTGCTTTGCCATGGTCGTTCCTTATTTTTTTGGCCTTTTAGAGCCGTAAAACAGGAATTCTAGACGATTCCTAGATTCTGGTGTACTATAGTCCACACCATCTACATGAATTCGGGCGATCGGGATCACTACCTTAACAACAGCAAGGCAGTTAGAGAAGCCATGTGCTTTTTAATGGACCCACAAATTGGAAAGAAGCTCTGTTTTGTCCAATTTCCCCAGAGATTTGATGGTATTGATCGCCATGATAGATATGCCAACCGTAATGTTGTCTTCTTTGATGTAAGTTTTAATCTATAAATGCAGCAAGGTAGGATTTATCCTCACTATTTTGTTCTGATTCAATCTGTTATCTTTTTTTGATGGTGACAGATCAACATGAAAGGCCTGGATGGAATTCAAGGGCCAGTGTATGTTGGAACAGGTTGTGTCTTCAACAGGGCCGGCGTTATACGGCTATGATCCACCTGTTTCAGAGAAGCGGCCAAAGATGACATGTGATTGCTGGCCTAGTTGGTGCTGCTGCTGTTGTGGTGGTTCAAGAAAGCCCAAGTCCAAGTCCAAGAAGAAGAGCATCAAGTCCTTACTCGGACTATATAGCAAGAAAAAGAGAACAATGAATGGAAAGAACTACACTAGGAAGCCATCTGGACCTGTCTTTGATCTTGAGGAAATTGAAGAAGGACTTGAAGGATATGATGAGNTTGCTTTGCCATGGTCGTTCCTATTTTTTTTTGGCCTTTTTAGTAGCCGTTAAAACAGGAATTCTAGACGATTCCTAGATTCTGGTGTACTATAGTCCACACCATCTACATGAATTCGGGCGATCGGCCCCGAATCTCCTAAAATTTTGCAAGCCCATAAGAAACGACCTAATGAATAATAGTTATCGCTTCGCCATGACTGTCCCTCCTTTTTGGTGATTTAGGGGCCATAAAACAAGAATTTATGATGATTCCTAGATTTTCGTGTACCAGCTCACGCCATCTGCATGAATTCGGGCGGGCGGCCCCGAATCTCCTAAAATTTGGCAGGCCCATAAAATGACCTAATGAACGATAGTCATCGCTTCGCCACGATTGTTTCTCATTTTTTGGCATTTTAGGGTCATAAAACAGGAATGCATGACGATTCCTAGATTTTCGTGTACTATATAGTCCACAGCATCTAAATGAATTCGCGCGGCCGGCCTCAAATCTCCTAAAAAATTTCGTGCCCATCAAAAATTACAACAATAGTCTATCGTTTTGCCATGATCGTCCCTCGTTTTTGGCGTTTTATGGCCATAAAACAGGAATTCGGGACGATTCCCAGATTTTCGTGTGCTATAGAATGCCATCCCCCGAATCTCCTAAAATTTTGCGGACCCATCAAAAACGACCTAATGAACAATAGTCATTGCTTTGTCATGTATGTTTCCTGTTTTTTGGGCATTTTAAGGCCATAAAACAAGAATTCACGATGATTCCTAGATTTTCGTGTGCGATAGTCCACGCCTTTTGCATGAATTCGGGCGACCAGGTGTAGTTTTTCTATCTTGTGTGTTTTCTTTTGTGCTTTCTTTGGTGTTTAGTATAGCTTTTGTGTTCTATTGTTTAGGATTTGATGGGAATTTTCTCGTGTTTAAGATTTTAAAAAAAAAAATGCAATTTTACCGAACCTAACAGCTTGTTTGGATGGTTGTTCCCCATTGTATCGTATTGTATTGTTATCTTAAAACAACGTTTGTTTTGATTGTTTCATTAAAATTGGTTGTATTGTATTGTTAAATCCATTGTTCCGGAATAATGGAAAGTCCCATATTTTGAAACAATCGATTTGGTGTGGTGGGATTGTTTCCTATTTTCCTTTCCAATTATGCCTAACTTATTACTCCATAATTCTATTTTACCCTTTAACTTTTTTTCTATTTTAACTCCAAATCTCTAACATATAACCTACTTTATTTGTTTTCAAAACTTCTGCCGCCTTCTGTTTGATTTTTTTCTCCTAATTTGCTTTTAACTCAATTCTAATTAGTTGTGTTCCTTTGTTTTGCCTTCTTTTGTCTTACTCCTTTATTCTATTTTCTTAAGGTGTTTTGCCTTCTTCTGTTTTGTTTTTTAAAATTATTTTTATGCATAGTTTTTGATAAATTTAATATTTAAACAATTGAGGGTATTTTAGTAAACTTATCAGTTACAGTACAGTACGATACAGTCAAACCAAACAGCAAAATATTATTTAACAATAACAAACAATATAATATATCCAAACATTGTATTTATAAAACGATACAATACAATACGACACAATACAATACAATACATTATAAAACGATAAGGAACAGTGATCCGAAAATAGTGTAAATTTTTAAATATTTGATGAAAATTAGAGTGGGCAACTTTTACAAACTTAAAAATATCCCATTTTATCATTTTCTCCAACTAAGCGCTGTCCAACTTGTTCCCCTCTTCCTTGCTGCAGCGAACTCCACACTGACGGAATCAAATTGTATGTTCCTCTATTTCACTTCATTTCTATCTTTAATTAGACCAAAATTGTTATATCCCTTTTTGTAATGAATATATTATAGTAAACCGCGAATTCTACTGAATTTGATTTTGATTTGCTCTGTTTTCTCCTATTTCTCAATGAGCTTTGATTTTTACCACATTAATCTGCGTTTATTGTAGTACTAATAACTATGAAAAAGAATTTGTCCAGGTAAAGTCCTCGGTCCTCCCCTTTGCTCTCACCTCTTTCTATTCCTTTTCCTTTTATTTTTTAGTCTTCTCTATCTGTAAGGTTTTTACTTAAATGGGAATTATCTAATTTCCACGGAGAAATCAAATTGAGAAGCAAATGATTGGAGACGAGCAATTGGGATTTGAGACAATGTACCAGCTTTTGTTGCTTATTAATCATAAATAAATAATGAAAATATAAGAAAATTCAGAAATTTATGGCTATATTTCCATTAATATATATTTATACTCATTTTAGAAAGGAAATTTTGTGGAATGGCTCTGCGTTGTGCTATTATTGACAGTTTTTAGAATATGAAAGTGCATTGAGGTCGAGTATAAAAGGATAATATATTTATTATATTATTAAATTAATGATATTTGATCATTTTAAAGTTTATACTTTGCTCATTATAACACATCATTATCTTTAAGTTTAAGAGAGTTGAACGCCAAATTATATTAAAGATAGTGGTGCCCCGTCGTCTCCAAATTCTGGGTCCGCCTTTGGTTATATATATGTGAAGTTCTGATTATGAGCTATCATTATTTTTAGAGACTTTTAGCACATTTGGCTGCTCGACCAAAATTAGTATATTATATACATCTACCAGCTATTTCGGGGGGGGGGGGGGGTGGGGTGTACGGT